CTCATCATCATCATCATCATCATCATCGTCATCATCATCATCATCATCATCATCATCATATCCTCATCATCATCATCATCCTCATCATCATCATCATCATCATCATCATCATCATCATCATCATCCATCATCATCATCATCATCATCATCATCATCATCATCATCATCATCATCAGCCATCATCATCATCATCATCATCATCATCATCATCATCATCATCATCATCATGTCGTCGTCGTCATCATCATCATCAGCAGCATCGTCGTCATCCTCATCACCATCATCAAATATAAGTTCATTTCTGTTTAAAATGGCCTAAACTTGAAAAAGTATCCAATCAAGAGTAAAAGCAGTATTGAGCCTTTAGGAAACACTTCAATCAGCAAGAACAATAAACCGACCACGTGTGTAGTTAAAAACACAGCAGAACAAAATAATTACTTAAGAATGATATCATAAGAACGTGAGATACTTTAAAGGTGGATCATTAAGTGTGGTTTCTTTTAACTAATCCCTAGAAGTGTGCATATTTGCAAGTGGTCTGCTGCTCGAAAAGGTTTTACTGTCTAGCGCATCTAACACAACGTCTAGTTACAGAGAGAACGGCTATATTCTCAGCAGTGGGGCGTGGATGCATTTTAGTTCTCGGAGGTAAGGAGACCCTGTATTTGAGCATAGCCATGACTTATAACAGTGGTAGTCAGGCCGTCGCGAACTACGACGTTTACTGTGACTTTTATCTTATTTTCACTTTTCTCCCTTACCTTGCTCAGATGTCAAGTCAATCTCAAAATGGCCAGTGGTTGGTCCGGGTGCAGGTTTAGATAAAGATTGAAAGCCCTATACGCGGCAAACACGACACCGCCACCGTCAAATATACCACGGTTTCACAAAAACAAGGCGTGGTTCGGATCTTACCCGAGTGAGAGTGCCCTAGAGTCCAATTGGAAAAGGAGCCATTGCATCCTTATCCTTCATTCTAGAGGTGATCGACCCGCATAACAATTGAACTAGAATTACTGTTTTCAAGGTCAATTGCGGGGGAGAATTGAAGACCGAGCAAGCTTTGCTCATTCTAAGACAGTCATTTGGTAAAACTTGAGGACGATAAGGCGATCACTCTAAACAGTCATTTATTCGAGTGAGCGTCCAGACCGATTCTGAACCCTAAAAATGACGCGCACGTCAATATATAGTCAAAAAGGCAGTGTGCAAAGTTGCACAAACTTCTGTGACAGCAAACAGCAACCAACTGTAATACAGGTGGCTTTGTACTAAATTTTAGGATAATTAGAGTTAGGGTTAGGACATGGGAACATGTACCCTTCCTGGAATCTAACTGACGGCCATTTGTATTCCTCTTTTCGTGTCCTGCCGGGTGGCAAGACAGGTCATGCAAGTGATTTTAACTGATTTCTAGACTATCCCAGGTGTCAGAGTTTTCCTGTCAACCTCACAGGTTAAGGGGTGTTTATTCCGGTATCAGCAGACCAGTCATTCAGACGGCACTCTTCTCTTCCTCGGAGAAATTATGATGATGTTATGGTGGCTCAGTCACAGAGCTAGAGAAGATGCCGCGACTTTGAGTGGCTTGCCGTTTGAGCGTTTCAGTCGTAGATTTAATACGTATCCTATTTATTAGGAGGTTTGGCAAATTTGATTAATATGAGTTGACCCAATTGTGAAAAAGCTCGAGGCGTTCGGCGGGATTTGAACCC